AAAAGTTCACCCGAACACACATAATTCTGTCAAATATGAAGTGGGGTGAAAATGGTAAAAATTCCACTCATACATGAAGTATTTGCTAGAAAAACACCTGCATTCAATCCTGGACATAGCTGCCAAATAATGGTCAGTGAAAGCAAAATATTTCCAGAAAAATTCACTTCCCATAATAACTTAAATGTAGGCTGCAAAATATTAAATGTCATACATATATATGTTTACAGTCTTCAAACTCTCTTTCCAATTTGCCAACTGAGGCTAAAATATCATCCTTGTCGAGGATCGCCGTACAGATCACCAAAGAAGCTGTCAACACAGGTATTGCCCTGGCAGTTGTGACCGTCCGATTGGCTGTTTCCTGTCATGAGTTATACTTCGATTATTAGAAAGATTTTATGTCAACTGCAGTCGGTGTTGATCTTGTCCATCGCTAGACGTTTCTTGTTGGTTTATCAGTCAACTTCAAAACAGTTATCTATCCTATTTGACTGTTCTACCTCGAAACCATCTTTTTTCTGGTGACCGAAATAGTCCAAAACATCATGATGTACTACCATTCATAAGAGTCAAATTGATTGTTTCTAAGCCATCATCTTAATTGAAACAAACTGAGAAAATGAGGTAGATTTTTGCGCAAGTTAAGCAGAGAAGAACTTGATCTCGCGTAGGGTTTTGTTGCCTCGGGATATAAATCATCATGACTGACCTACTTGAGTCCAAAGGTTCACCAGTTTGAATTTCCCAAATGTATTTTTGTTTAGGCGTCTGAAGTCCTTTTTCCTCTTTTATCGATTAGGCTACGAGATGTCATTGGAAGAAGGACTGCATTTTGAGAAAAGAATGTTTCACTCAACATTTTCAACAGTAAGTTAATATTGATCGGCGTTTACACTTGAAAGAAGACGGCAATTGCAATACAAAGTGGTAAACCCACTTAACCATTTCCCGAAAACATATTACCTACTCTCTCTGATTTAGAGCGATACACTTGCGATGAAACTTTCCCAAAGGAAATTTTTCTCCTTTTCTTTAATTTCGCAGGGCGATCGAAAGGAAGGGATGACAGCTTTTGTAGAGAAACGAAAAGCCGAATTCACGGACAATTAATATCTGTTACTTTTCGGAAAGTCGTAGCTTGCGAACTAGAACTTTGGATTGTTTGTGGGAGTGTTAGTGCAGGTGAAAGAATGATGAAAGCTTATACAAAATTGTGTGAAGGGCAATAAAAACACTCAACATGAATTTTCACCGAAAAAAAAATTAAATAAAAAAATTTAACTGGTGAAATTGATAGAAAAAATAAAATAAATAAAGTAGAATCATAGTCATTTTTCGTTCGTGCGCTCATCTGTTGAACGGATACCGTGGGGTATACATTGGGACGGGGGCGAGTATAGATTTAAGTTCTGCACAGTTCGATATGTTAAATAAGACTCGAGCCAGGAAAACTAAATGACGCCCCAGATGACGGCTCTTCAGTAAACTTTCTGGAAAATTAATCCAAGACAAACCAAGTTTTCGACTTGTTTCCTCTCTGTTCACTTTTCTTTCGTTTTGAATCAAATCCTTGGAAGAAATAGATTTTATTTGCTGTAAGGCACCTTGTTTAAATTGCCTTAAAGGTCAATGTCTATATGATAATTTCTTTTTTCTTTTTCGGTCCAGGAGGTTTCCCAGCTAACCTCGACCTTTTGTGCAGGGCATGATTTTCATGGTTTTCGTGAATTTTTTTGCGAAGTGCAAACTAAGCGTACTATTCCACTTTCCCTGGAATGTTTGTATTCCCGCTTGACGCACGTGATTCGACCAACTAGCCAATCATGTTTAGATCCTTGAACTTTACGTTGAGGTTGACGCGGTCAATTTCCTTAGCACTAATTCAACCTTTAATTAAGAAAGCAGTTGTGAAAATTTAATCGTTATGTACCTCTCAGCTCAAATAGGTTTTCTGATTGGAGGAGAACAAGTCGCGAGCTTGGTAAACAACAACTTGAACTTTCGACCCTCACGGGATAAGGTCGTGCACCGTGAAACTGCAGCAAATGTGAGTGCCAGCCTGCGTAAAAGAATAATATTTTAGCAGTCATTTTCGAGTTGGGAGGTATGACAAACAACTCTTAAAAATTAAAATCAAAGTGACTGGCCCCATGCGATACAATGAGAATTTCTTTCCCTTGACCCGCAATGGAAACTAAACTTATTGTTTCCCCTAGAGTCAGTTACTCGCTTAATTTATCAACCTTGCCAGATGTCTGCATTAGAATTGTCTGGGAGCGAGAGTAAACAATATTAGCAGGGTATATTAGCTAGAGTGCAAAAGATGAGAAAATAATTGGAGCATCGAAAGAAATATATATTTCTTAGCATACTGGCTTCGGCTATTAGATTTAACTAACACGGGTTCAAAACAGGAACACACAAAAACATGTATGGTACAGCAGATATACCAACACACTGTGAGTCATAAATGTACGAGTTAGAACGTGAGAAGGAATCCTGTCAGTTTCATCACTGAATAAAACTTTTAACCTTGAAATTTCATCTTGTAGTTCTTTCAGTTTGCACAAGGCGAATTTAGCTTTGTTTGGTGGGAAAAAGTTACTATGTATCCTGAATGCTACTGATTGATACTCATAAAAAACTGAGTACAAGAGAAAAGAAATCCGGATAATAAAAACAATCCGAGTAATCTAGGTTTGTTTCTAGTTAAATTCCCCCATGCTTTACTCGAATGTAAAGAAACGCTAACCCCAAGTCGTGATCAGTACTTCGTGCAAGTTCACTGATGCATAATTTATGAATGGGTTCTTAAGCTGTTTCTATTTATTTCTTTTAATCATTGTCTCAAGGTTCATTAAAATTGTATGAAAAGTTGATAAAAGAGTTTTTCAATACAAAAATACGAGAGGAGTGGAAGGAAACTGAAGGTAAGAATATACTGGTTTCAAGAAGATTGCTCTCTAACTTTGACAACAACATACATCTTGAATAGTCAACCGCTTCGATAAATACGTTTGAGTGAGAAGTATATATACAAAAGACCTTTACTACCGCATAAGCGTGAAAAGAAAAGTCGAGGAAAAGTAAGAAACAGAAGGTAAGTTTGATTGAGAAACTCGATGTATTTACTTACTATCGGGTGAGTAACTTGTGCAAGCCAGCGGACAAGTTTTCATTCTTCGCAGGGATGATACCTTTATGTGACTTGGTTGTTTAAAAAGCTCTCGCATTCTTTCGCCGACTCAGACAAAGTGTAATGGACAGAACCCTTAACTCATAAAACTATTTTCTGCGTCTAAGAAGCTTAAGGCAATAGGACCAAATCCGTCATCTGCTTTTCTTTCTTTCTCAAATTACAGGATGAGAGGGCTTCTAGTTGGTTTCCATTACTGTCCCGTTCTGTTGAGTGGTGTTGCTTTGTTTCTTGTGGCTTTCAGTTCGTCTTTGCACACTGACTTGAGAAGGGACGAGATTTTCGAGAGAGATAAAGAAAACACGTGAATGTTTTATATCTCCCTACATGCTGATTTTCTTTTTGCCGACGGGATGTAAATAATTCAAGTGCCATGGGCGAAAACTCGGATCGGATGACATAGATTTTGGCTGTATCAGGATAAACTTTACATGACCCCCCCCTCCCCCCCCTAAGGCTCTGTAACAATCTTACGATCCTCCTCATTGGCAATCAATTTTCTATACCTCCCCCCTTATACTGTGTTGGCCACAGTATCCAAAGTAAACTGCATGATGATAAAATGAAACACGACTGTGTTGTTATTTTAGGATTTGAGGTAGCTGGTCATATCACCGAGGCATTATGCGCTGACGAAATAAGCTGTGGATTGAGATGCCATCAAGATGAGAAATGAAAATCTTAGTCACGTGTAGATCCATGTATAACCTTTCCCGAGAGAAAATGAAGATTAAAATATCTTCCCTTTCCTTATAATGATAAGTTTTCCATTTTCTTAGTTTGAATTAAAGGATGCTATGAATCCTACAAAGATTTCCAAAATCAGGAGCTATCTAATAATTACGCGAAAGGAACTACTTATGGAATAAGACCTCTGTGGCGTGTTTTGTTTCTTAGTTTGATCCTCTCCTCGTTCCAAATGATTATTCTTCTCTTTTCCGATGCAGATAAACGAGGTTTGGATCCTGCTCATCCGGCCTTCTCCTGTAAGAAAATTCTGGGCTCTGGACACTCCAAAGGAGACGGGGAGTATTGGAACGACCTTGAGAAGAGTGAAAACCCTTTGAGGGTCTATTGTGACATCTAAAGATAGGGTGGTAAGAAAATGAATTTTTTTTTGAAACGAGAACTTTAACCGGAGTGTATTTGACTTAGAGCAGTTGTTATTGGAACGTTCTGGTCTTGGCTAAAAGTATTATGTTTTTAATCAAAACTATAACAAAAGTCACAAACATGATTGGTTATCATCAGCCAGCCGATTTGAGCACTAATAGGAGAGTGTACGCGTCATACTTGTAATTGGACAGCGTAATAGGACCGTAAAGGGACAGTTAACGCGTCATGCCTGCCTGAGTAGACAGATAACGTCATGTGTGCGCTGTTGTCTCACATTTCGCCGAGTTAACTGTTGTTTTTTTGTTTTTATGAAAACGTATGTCTAGTTTTATGAAAACTGATGTCTAGTTCTTTCTCAAATTTTAACACAGTTTTGATTAATTGGTAACAGGACTTCTTGTCGTCCAATTCTTTCTCTAACGATACTCGTGATTAACAAATCGGACTCCCACTTTGGGATCGTACGATTTTGTTAATCACTCGTATGATTTCAGACCGAATTGGACTCCACTCGGTCCTGTTACCATTATTAATGTGTTCAAAATTCTATTTATATGGATGTCACCAGATCATTTAGATTTGTTTTATTTCAGGAGGTTAGCTCCTGGTGTCAAATGTTGAGTGCGGAAGTCCCTCTTCTAAGGTGTCAGTTGAGACATCATACCGTGGAATAGGTAAGTCACATATGGTTCTGCAGAAAAGTGCCATGAAAGAGCTCAGAAGACACTTGTCTTTCACTCAGCTGAGATTCCACTGCTGTAAGAAACAGGGACGCACATTCCACGTGGTCACAGCTTTCAACAGCTCAGGTGAAGCTGTGGTCCAGTACTTCAGCGGTCGGGCAGATAAGCAACCGGACGCCTGTGTTTCGTTTGTGAGATTGACATTGAATGACAATTCCAAGTTAGCTAGCATTTGCAAAGATTGGGGACTAGCAAATGGAAAGTACTATGTTGGAAAGTGGGGACATGGCGGAGATCAAAATAGGTTATAGAGCTTCCCTGCCTTCTGACAATTTAAGTATCACCTCAGGGTCTACTTGAATAGCGACAACGACATGGAATGTGATGATGTCGCCTCTCAGAGTGTAAACTTAGTCGGCGATTTCTGGAAAGTCTTTGTTCGTTAGTTGCGTTTAACTCAGAGCTGTCTATACACCAAGCAACCCTTGACTGTGAAAATAACTTCTTTAAACGAATAGACTGAAAACAGAGACGAACACAAGAAATGCACCGTTGCCCTCAGCTGTGGATTGTAAAGCCGTTTTTGCGCACAAATATCTAATTAGGTCACATATCTGACGCTCGCTTCTTCCTTGTGGTAGGCTTACCGACAGTGCTCCACTGTTTTTATCATGTAGTTATAGTTTTACATACACCGGATCCTAAAGGAGTCAATGAGATAAACACGGTTTTCTATGTAGTAGTTTATGTTGCTTTATGTATTTCCAAGAACAATTAAGGTTCGAAGAGATAGACTCTCCCTTTTGTTTGGTCACGGAATATGTAAATATACTGATATCCGACTGAATATAAAAAAATATTAGGGCAAGGTGTTTTTTTAAATCTTACAATTTGTTATTTCATCCATTTCAAAGTCAAATCGTTCAAGCTTTTGAGAGCACGAGGAACTTTGTCCGAAGTATAAAGGGGGTAAGTTTTTAGAGAAACAGTGGTGCTGTGTCGGTGGGGGAGTATGACATAATAATTTGGTTTTATCAACTGAATTGTTAACGTAAGTTGTAAATCAGAAAGACGTTATTTACAGATCAGTACAAGTGAGAATTTGACGATTTAACTGACGGATCAATTTTCTATCAATCTTATTCCGTAAGGGGATGTATTCAGATTAGTTTTAGAATTCTTTTGTTTCCGAAGGCCTGTAAGGATTAAATCTAAATCTAGAAAAATGATCGAACAATCCTCTCTCGAGAATTAACTCATAGAACAAACATGAGCTCTAGTTACTATTTATTTTACAGTATTTGTCACGAACAATCGAGCAAATCTGCTCGCGATAGAGGCATCGGCATTGCATCACTGAGAGAACATAGATACCACTGGTCTTCAAACAAGCAATGGCCAGTCTCAACCTCCTAGCGAGATTTTCGCTGGTGTGAGTTCAGTGGACTTTCTGATACAGAAACCTTTGATATGATAGGAGAGCCCCCTCGTATAGAATGACGACTATTTTAGCCTCCTAATTGTAAACATGCATGCGGTATGAAAAGATCCCCCTACATAGCCTACTCCGGTCCGCCACAACGGAAATGTTTTCTTCCAAAGGGCACATAACGTTGCTAATATTGGGATTTCAGTCGACTGAAACTTGAAGGGAAAGTAGCTTATGAGTGCTAAAAGCATAATATAATTCTTGACTTGTAGAGAGCTCTGAACGCGACATTAATGCAATTCCCAACTTAAATACGTCTTTTGATTGAAGGGCTGAACATGTCGCGAGTCGTGAATCAAAATACACTTACTTTCTCGGATAAACAAACTTCACTGAGCCCCCGTGGAAACGACGACTTGACTTTCGACTCTCACGTGATGCAGTGCCCAACTTAAATACGTCTTTTGATTGGAGGGCTGAACATGTCGCGAGTCGTGAATCAAAATACACTTACTTTCTAGGATAAACAAAATTCACTTGGCCCCCAGGGAAACAAATGCTTGACTTTCGACTCTCACCGTGTAACCGCAGCAAATGTGTGTGTCAGCATGCCTATAAAAATTATTTTTTGCAGTCATTTTCGAGTTGGGATGTAGGAGAAACACTTTAAAAAAATAAAAATTAAAGTAACTAGCACCACAGGAAACAGTGAAGATTCCTTTACCTTACCCTGCCAGGGCAACAAAACTCTCTGTATCCCTTGGAGTCGGTCATTAGTCACTTACTTTACCAACTTTGCCAGGTGTCTACATTATAATTGTCTGGAAGCGAAAGTAAACACTATTAGTAGGGTAGCTGGAGGGCAGAGGATGAGAAAATAATTAGCGCATCAGAAGAAACAAATGTTTCTTAGCATATTGGCTTCCGTTGCCAATTTTAACGTGCACGAGTCAAAAATAGGAACGCAGAAATACATGTATGGTACAGCAGATATATCTACAAATTGTGACTCATAAATGTACGAGTTAGAAGGTGAGAGGGAATTCTGTCACTTTTCATCTCTCTCTGTTGAAATTACATCCTGTAGCTCTTTTTTATTAAGCGAATTCCGCTTTGTTTGGTGGGAAAAAGTTGTCATCGATCCCGAATGCGACTAATTGATACTCATAGAAATCCTTGTGCAAGAGAAAAGAGGTCCGCAAAATAAAGAACAATCCGAATGATCGAGGTTGTTTCTATTAATGTTAAACGACCCCACGCTTTACTCGAATGTAAAGAAATGTTAATCAGAAATGTTAGTCGTGATCAGTACTTCGTTCAAAGCTGACTATTGCTTGATTTACGAAAGGGGTTCTCAAGCTGTTTCTTTTTATATTTTTTTTTAATTATTGTCTCAAGTTTCATTAAAATAGTATGAAAAGCTGATAAAAGATTTTTTTCAATAGAAAAATACGAGAGGAGTGGAAAGAAACTGAAGGTCAGAATATACTGGTTTCAAGGAGGAACCAAGTCATTCAATTTGGAAAAAATTGGCTAATTTAAACTTAAGAAGAAGATTGCTTTCCAACTTTGATAACAACATAATAAAAACAATCCGAGTAATCTAGGTTTGTTTCTAGCTAAATGCCCTCACGCTTTACTCAAATGTAGAAAAAGCTAACCCCAAGCCGTGATCAGTACTTCGTGCAAATACGACTGATGCATAATTTATGTATGAGTTCTTAAGCTGTTTCTATTTATTTCTTTTAATCATTGTCTCAAAGTTCATTAAAATTGTATGAAAAGTTGATAAAAGAGTTTTTCGATACAAAAATACGAGAGGAGTGGAAGGAAACTGAAGGTAAGAATATACTGGTTTCAAGAAGATTGCTCTCTAACTTTGATAACAACATAAATCTTGAATAGTCAGCCACTTGGATATATACGTTTGAGTGAGAAGTATATCTACAAAAGACCTTTACTACCGCATAAACGTGAAAGAAAAGTCGAGTCGTGATCAGTACTTCGTGCAAAACTGACCAATGCATAATTTATGTAAGGGTTCTCAAGCTGTTCCTATTCATTTCTATAATTTTCATTGTTACACAAGGTTCATTAAAATTGTATGAATAGTTGATAAAAGAGTTTTTCAATGCAAAAATACGAGAGGAGTGGAAGGAAACTGAAGGTAAGAATATACTGGTTTCAAGGAGTAACCAAGTCATTCAATTTGGAGAAAATTGGTTAATTTAAACTTCAGAAGAAGATTGTTCTCTAACTTTGACAACAACATAAGTCTTGAATAGTCAGCCGCTTCGATAAATATGTTTGAGTGAGAAGTATATATACAAAAGACCTTTATTACCGCATAAACGTGAGAAGAAAAGTCGAGGAGAAGTAAGAAAAGGAAGGTGAGTGTGAGTGAGAAACTCGATGTATTTACTTACTATCGGGTGAGTAACTTGTGCAAGCCAGCGGACAAGAATTAATCCTCAGCAGGGAAGATTCCTTTATATGACTTGCTAGTTTAAAAAGCGCTCGTATTCCTTCGCTGAGTCAGACAAAGTGTAATTAGCAAAATCCTAAATTCACAAGCAAAACTATTTGTTGCATCTAAGAAGGGAGAAGGGCAACATTTGTCATCTGTTTTTCTTTCTTTCGCAAATTACAGGATGAGAGGGCTTCTAGTTGGTTTCCATTTCTGTCCCGTTCTGTTGAGTGGTGTTGCTTTGTTTCTTGTGGCTTTCAGTTCGTCTTTGCACACTGACTTGAGCAGGGACGAGGTTTTCGAGCGAATTGAAGGTAACACGTAAATGTGTTATACCTCTGGACACAGTGATATTTTGTTCCGGTGGGATGTGAGTGTTTCAAGTGCCATGGGATCGGAAAACTGGGATCGGTTGACACAGATTCTGATCCCTCCCCCACCCCCCTAATAAGGCTTTGTGACATTCCTACAATCCCCTTCATTGGTAGTAAATTTCCATTCTTCCCCCTTTATACTCTGTTAGCCACAGCAGTTCGCTCTGGAAAAAAAATATAAGATCGCCCCAAAATTGGGTAAAAACAACAGGAACTTTCTACGTGCAACTCTCATAACTCTCAGGGCTTCTTCATATTCACCTTTGTAAGATATCAAGAGTCAAGATGACCTCTTAAGACAGGGTAATTAACTACACACAAACTGTATTATGAAAGTATCCAAAATAAACTGAGTGATGAGAACATGAAACGCGATTGTGTTGTTTTTCAAGGATTTGAGCTAATTGGTCACATCACCAAGACATTATATGCTGACGAAATAAGCTGTGGATTGAGTTGCCTTCGAGATGAAAACTGCCAATCTTACAACAGCAAATCCGATGCTAATGATGCAAAGAAGGAATGTCAACTGAGTAATCAAACCAAAAATTCAAGTCCGGAAAACCTGAGGCGTAACCCACGTTCTACTTATTATGGAAGAGGTACTGTTGAGTAAGGTGCTTAACATTATGGAAAAGTTAGAGGAGGGGGAGGGTATGAAAAGTCGGAGTATTTTAGTTGTCACGATGAAGTTTTCCTGATCCTTCCATAACGTTCCGAATTATTCTATCGATCTTCCTCATTGGCCGCCAATTTTCTTTAGTCCCACCTTTAAACTCTGTTAGCGACCACTGATCCCCTCTCCATTCCCTTGAAAACAATGATATCCCCCCCAAGACTCTGCCACCCCTCCCACCTCCTCTTTCCATGGCCAAGTCAAAAATGGTGACCTATTTCTTACTTTTGATTAGGGCTTTTCAGAGCTCTCTCATGTCACGTGTACATCCATGTATAATCTTTCCCGAGAGAATATGAAGTTAAAAATCTCTTGCTTTTCCTTATAATGAAAGGTTTTCCATATTCTTAGTTTGAATTGAAAGATGCTATGGATCCTGCAAAGATTTATAAAATCTAGAGCTATCTAACAATTACGCGAAAAGAACTACTTATGGAATAAGACCTCTGTGGCGTGTTTTGTTTCTGAATTTGATCCTCTCCTCGTTTTAAATGATTATTCTTTTTCCTATGCAGGTAAACGAGGTTGGGATTTTGCTCATCCGGCCTTCTCCTGTAAAGAAATTCTGGACTCTGGACACTCCAAAGGTAAACGAGGTCGGGATTCTGCTCATCCGGCCTTTTCCTGTAAAGAAATTCTGGACTCTGGACACTCCAAAGGAGACGGGGAGTATTGGATCGACCCTGAGAAGAGTGGAAACCCTTTGAAGGTCTATTGTGACATGTTAAGATCTGGTGGTAAGAAAAGGAATTTTTTTTTTTTGAGACACGAGAACTTCAACAGGAGTATATTTGATCTTGGCTATTCTTGCTTTCTCTACAAATATCCTTCTTATGTTTTGAATCAAAATGTTTGTAATTGAACAGTGTAATAGGACCGTTAAAGGGATAGTTAACGCGTTATGCCTGTGTGAGTGGACAGAACGCGTCATGTGCGCGCTGTTGTCTCGCATTTCGCCGGGTGAACTGTTGTTTTTCGTTTTTGTGAAAACGTATAACCAATGTATAGTTTCTTTCTCAATTTTTGTCATAGTTTTGATTAATTGGTAACAGGCCTCCTTGTCGTCCAATTCTGTCTGTAGTGATACGAGTGATTAACAAATCGGACTCCCGCTTTGCGGTCGTATGATTCTATAAATCACTCGTATGATTACAGACCCAATTGGACTCCACTCGGTCCTGTTAATATTTAATATGTCCAAAATTCTATTTACATGGATGTCACCAGATCATTTAGGTTTGTTTTATTTTAGGAGGTTGGCTTCTGGTGTCAAATGTTGAGTTCGGAAGTCCCTCTCCTAAGGTGTCAGTTGAGACATCATACCGTGGAATAGGTAAGTCACATATGGTTCTGCAGAAAAGTGCCATGAAAGAGCTCAGAACACACTTGTCCTTCACTCAGCTGAGATTCCACTGCCACAAGACACAGGGACGCACATTCCACGTGGTCACAGCTTTCAACAGCTCAGGTGAAGCTGTGGTCCAGTACTTCAGCGGTCAGACAGATGAGCAACCGGACGCCTGTGGTTCGTTTTTGAGAGTGACGAGTGATGACAATTCCGAGTTAGCTGGCATTTGCAAAGATTGGGGTCGACTAGCAAGTAAAGAGGTCCGGGTTGGAAAGTGGGGACATGGTGAAGATCAAGAAAGGCTATACTGGTATCCCGTCTTCAGAAATTCAAAAGTATCACCTTAGGGTCCAACTGCACAACGTTGACGACCTCAGAAAAATGGAATGTGATGATAGCTACGGTCACAATGTTGACACAAACGGCGATTTCTGGAGAGTCTTTGTTCGTTAGTTGCGTCTATCTGTACACCAAGCAACCCTTGACTGTGCGAATAACAGTAACAAACCAATAAAGCAAAATAAAGACAAATGCACTGTTACACTCATCAGGTTATAAGATTGTTTTTGTTTCCATTTCGGGGCAAAGGAAAGCAATCAATTTTTACAACTGCTTCCTTCTAAATAAAAGGTTGAACCAGTGACCACGTCAACCTCAATGCTAAGTTCAAGGACTCTAAACATGATTGGCTAGTTGATCGGGTCGCGAGCGTCGCGCGTGAATACTAAAAATTCCAGAGGAAGAGGAAAGAACACTTTGCAGTTCGAAAAAGATTCACTTCTGACACAAGAAAATTTCAATTTTTAATTTCAAGCCATTGAGAAAAACCATGCTTAGCATAAGAGGTCGAAGCTAGCTGGGAAATCTCCCCGACAATAGAAAAGTAATCATACAGATTTTGACCTTCAACCCCTTGGGGATTGGGGAAGGGTTTTTTTCCACTTTTTAGACATGACACGAGTTTTTATACTGTAACCAATCACAATCGAAGAAACTTTAATTTTCAATGATTGAGAGGTTTATATCAAACGTAATAATAACATAATAACCGGGCATTATATATATATATATATTATTATATGTATAATTTTTTTTTTTTTTTATCGTGTTCAGAGCTTCACACAAGTCAAGAACTATATGACGCTTTTAGCACCCATAAGCTCCTTTTCCTTTGGGTTTTCAGTCGACTCAAATCTCGATATCAGCAACGTCTCAAATCGCTGAGAAAAATGAATGAACAACCCTCTCTCGAGAATTAACTCATAGAACAAGCATGAGTTCTAGTTACTGTTGGTTTACAGTATTTTGTCATGAAAAATCGAGCAAATCTGCTTGCGATCGAGGCATCGTCATTGCATCACTGAGAGAACATAGATACCACTGGTCTTCAAACAAGTAATGGCTACTCTCAACCTCTTAGCGAGATTGTCGCTCGTGTAAGTTCAGTGGACTTTCTGATACACAAACCTTCGATGTGATAGGAGAACCCCCTCGTATAGAATGACGACTATTGTAGCCTGCTAATTGTAAACATGCACGCGGTATGAAAAGAGCCCCTACATAGCCTCCACCACAACGGCAACGTTTACTTCTAAGGGGTACATAACGTTGCTAATATTGGGATTTCAGTCGACTGAAACTTGAAGGAAAAGGAGCTTATGGGTGCTAAAAGCATAATATAATTCTTGACTTGTAGAGAGCTCTGAACGTGACATTTATGCAATTCCCAACTTAAATACGTCTTTTGATTGAAGGGCTGAACATGTCGCGAGTCGTGAATCAAAATACACTTACTTTCTCGGATAAACAAAATTCACTAAGCCCCCGAGGAAACAACGACTTGACTTTCGACTCTCACGTGATGCAATGCCCAACTTAAATACGTCTTTTGATTGGAGGGCTGAACATGTCGCGAGTCGTGAATCAAAATACACTTATTTTCTAGGAGAAACAAAATTCAAAAGTCGACTCTCACATGATAAGGTCGTTCACCGTGAAACCGCAGCAAATGTGTGTGCCAGCCTGCCTATATAAATTATTTTTTTGCCGTCATTTTCGAGTTGGGATGTATGAGAAACACTTTAAAAAATTAAAATTAAAGTGACTGGCCCCACGGCAAACAGTGAGGATTGCTTTACCTTGCCCTACCAGGGCAACAAACTCACTTTATTCTTTGGAGTCGGTCATTAGTCACTTATTTTACCAACTTTGCCAGGTGTCTGCATTATAATTGTCTGGAAGCGAAAGTAAACACTATTAGTAGGGTAGCTGGAGGGCAAAGGATGAGAAATAATTGGGGCGTCAGAAAAAACAAATGTTTCCCAACATATTGGCTTCTGTTGCCAATTTTAACGTGCACGAGTCCAAAATAGGAACACAGAAATAAATGTATGGTACAGCAGATATATCTACAAATTGTAACTCATAAATGCACGAGTTTGAAGGTGAGAGGGAATTCTGTCACTTTTCATCTCTCTCTGTTGAAATTACATCCTGTAGCTCTTCTTTATTAGGCGAATTTCGCCTTATTTGGTGGGAAAAAGTTGTCATCGATCCCGAATGCGACTAATTGATACTCATAGAAATCCTTGTGCAAGAGAAAAGAGGTCCGGAAAGAAAAGAAAAATCCGAATAATCGAGGTTTGTTTCTATTAAAGTTAAACGCCCCGACGCTTTACTCGAATGTAAATAAATATTAATCAGAAATGTTGATCGTGATCAGTACTTCGTGCAAAGCTGACTAATGCTTGATTTACATAAGGGGTTCTCAAGCTGTCTTTTTTTTATTTCTTTTAATTATTGTCTCAAGTTTCATTAAAATTGTATGAAAAGTTAATTTTTCACACGAGAGGAGTGGAAAGAAACTGAAGGTCAGAATATACTGGTTTCAAGGAGTAACCAAATCATTCCATTTGAAGAAAATTGGTCAATTTAAACTTCATAAGAAGATTACTTTCTAACTTTGTTAACAACATAAGTCTTGAATGGTCAGCCACTTCGATAAATACGTTTGAGTGAGAAGTGTATATATACAAAAGACCTTTACTACCGCATAAACGTGAGAAGAAAAGTCGAGGAAAAGTAAGAAAAGGAAGGTGAGTGTGAGTGAGAAACTCGATGTATTTACTTACTATAGGGTGAGTAACTTGTGCAAGGAGTAACCAAGTCATTCAATTTGGAGAAAATTGGTTAATTTAAACTTCAGAAGGAGATTGCTCTCTAACATTGACAACAACATAAGTCTTGAATAGTCAGCCGCTTCGATAAATACGTTTGAGTGAGAAGTATAAATACAAAAGACCTTTACTACCGCATAAACTGAGAAGAAAAGTCGAGGAAAAGTAAGAAAAGGAAGGTGAGTGTGAGTGAGAAACTCGATGTATTTACTTACTATCGGGTGAGTAACTTGTGCAAGCCAGCGGACAAGAATTAATCCTTAGCAGGGAAGATTCCTTTATATGATTTGGTAGTTTAAAAAGCGCTTGTATTCCTTCGCCGAGTCAGATAAAGTGTAATTAAAAAAACCCCTAAATTCACAATCAAAACTATTTGTTGTATCTAAGAATGGAGAAGGGCAACATTTGTCATCTGTTTTTCTTTCTTTCACTTCTGACTCAAGAAAATTTCAATTTTCAATTTCAAGCCATTGAGAAAAACCATGCTTAGCACAAGAGGTCGAGGCTATCTGGGAAATCTCCCGGACAATAAAAAAGTAGTCATACAGATTTTGACCTTCAACCCCTCAGGGATTGGGGGAGGGTTTTTTTTTCCACTTTTTAGACATGACACGAGTTTTTATACTGTAACCAATCACAATCGAAGAAACTTTAATTTTCAATGATTGAGAGGTTTATATCAAACGTGATAATAACATAATAACCGGATATTATATATATATAAATTTTTTTTTGTTAATCGTGTTCAGAGCTTCACACAAGTCAAGAACTATATGACGCTTTTAGCACCCATAAGCTCCTTTTCCTTTGGGTTTCAGTCGACTCAAATCTCGATATCAGCAACGTCTTAAATCACTGATAAAAATGAACGAACAATCTTCTCTCGAGAATTAACTCATAGAACGAACATTAGTTCCAGTTACTATTGGTTTACAGTATTTTGTCATGAAAAATCGAGCAAATCTGCTTGCGATCGAGGCATCGGCATTGCATCACTGAGAGAACACAGATACCACTGGTCTTCAAACAAGTAATGGCTACTCTCAACCTCTAAGCGAGATTGTCACTCGTGTGAGTTCAATGGACTTTGTGATACAGAAACCTTCGATGTGATAGGAGAACCCCCTCGTATGGAATGACGACTATTGAAGCCTCCAAATAATAAACATGCACGCGGTGTGAAAAGAGCCCCTACATAGCCTACTCCGGTCCGCCACAACGGCAACGTTTACTTCTAAGGGGCACATAACGTTGCTAATATTGGGATTTCAGTCGACTGAAACTTGAAGGAAAAGTAGCTTATGGGTACTAAAAGCATAATATAATTCTTGACTTGTAGAGAGCTCTGAACGTGACATTTATGCAATTCCCAACTTAAATACGTCTTTTGATTGAAGGGCTGAACATGTCGCGAGTCGTGAATCAAAATACACTTACTTTCTCGGATAAACAAACTTCACTAGGCCCCCGGGGAAACAACGACTTGACTTTCCACTCTCACGTGATGCAAGGCCCAACTTAAATATAAACTCGCTGTATCCTTTGGAGTCGGTCATTAGTCACTTATTTTACCAACTTAACCAGGTGTCTACATTATAATTGTCTTGAAGCGAAAGTAAACACTATTAGTATGGTAGCTAGAGGGCAAAGGATGAGAAATAATTAGAGCATCAGAAGAAACAAATGTTTCTTAGCATATTAGCCTCCGATGCCAATTTTAACGTGCACGAGTCAAAAATAGGAACGCAGAAAAATCCTTGTGCAAGAGAAAAGAGGTCCGAAAAAAAAAGAAAAATCCGAATGATCGAGGTTTGTTTCTATTAAAGTTAAACGCCCCCACGCTTTACTCGAATGTAAATAAATGTTAATCAGAAATGTTGGTCGTGATCAGTACTTCGTGCAAAGCTGACTATTGCTTGATTTACGAAAGGGGTTCTCAAGCTGTTTCTTTTTATTTATTTTAATTATTGTCTCAAATTTCGTTAAAATTGTATGAAAAGTTGATTGTTCACACGAGAGGAGTGGAACGAAACTGAAGGTCAGAATATACTGGTTTCAAGGAGTAACCAAGTCATTCAATTTGGAGAAAATTGGTTAATTTAAACTTCATAAGAAGATTACTTTCTAACTTTCTAATTAACAACATAAGTCTTGAATAGTCAGCCGCTTCG